AAAAAAAAAAGTTAATTCACTGCTGTTATCCACATTGGTTTAGCATTGCAATCCACTTTGAAAAAATGTTGATACTGACATAATGGACTTATATTCAAAAGTGTGATTTTGACATTGTACTCCATGTGGAATTTTTCCTGTGTTTATTTATACAATTACTTACTCTTTTCAGCAGTGTAAATAAAGTGCTCTTGGGACATCCAGAGACAGGTATCCTGAAAGGAAGTGAACAGGAGCACCAGGTGTCTGTGCCGGAACGCAACTCATCTGCCCGGCTCAATCTGCCACTAACTCAGGGTAAGAGTCAAAACTCTTCATGCACATGTATTCTTTTCCCCTACAGAAATCTTGTCAGTATTTAGTGACTGCTTGGAAACTCAGGCACTTCAGAAATTAACAGCAGGGCTTATTGCCTCAAAATATGAATAACCTACAATACGAGTGTATTTTCTGATAGAAAAGATAAATATGTTCAGTTGAATTTTAAGTCCTTCCTCTTTGAGTTAAAAATGAGTTTTTCAGCTGCAGTTAGAAATCTTGTTAATAAGCTTGTATGTTATACAGTAATAACTTAAAAGTTATATTCTATCTGTTATGTAATCTTACATTTGTATATTTAATCTTATAAATGAGTGTGTATATATATGCTCATATCCATGTACATATACATACATATATGATATATGTTGATATGGAAAGCAAATTTGCAAAGTTTATTTCATTCATGGTAACTTATTAGATTCGTTAACTCAATTTATGTGTATAATAACATCTACCTGTCATGTGCAACCATTTTAAATTAAACTTAAAGAGACTCCTGTCTCAATTTTGCCCTTAGAAATGTCTGGCAGCATTTAAGAATAGATCATTTTAAGCTGTCATAAATACTGCTGTCCTTTGCATGCAAGCACATCCCCAAGGCATTGTTTTCAAGGGATGACCATCCAAAATAAGTAAAATTGTTTTCTGGGTGACATCTGAAAGAGGTGACCTGCCTTTGGTAGGCCTGGTAGAACTTTTCTTCTCTCCTAACACACCTGGTTGGAGCACTGAAGGGCAAGACCATGCCTGGGCAGCAGCCCGTGAGATTGCTCTGGCAGGGTGTTTGTTGCTCCCCCTGTCCTGTCCCGGAGACGGGTGTCCTGCTTGCCTGGGTGTCACAGTTGGTCACACGTTTCTGAGAGGTCATTACTGTCCCCGAGCTTTGTGCGCTCATGTGAAACACAAAGGGAAATTGCAAGAGAAGAAGACAGTTTATTAATAGGTTTATGGAGAGGAGTGGCTCTGCTTCATTTCTATTAAGTCATGAGGCATTAGGATCTCTTTGCTACTAGTTCCTTACTACAGAAATACTTTGTTTCCTCGACAGCTATTCAAGGATAGCTGTTTTCTGGGTGTGCTTCGGCCTTCTGCAGAAACTGAGTCCTTGCAGCTGTGCAGGTGATGGAGATGTGAGGGTAAAACTATATGAGTTTCTGCTGCTGAGGCCTTCTGGAGCAGCAGAACCTGTCTCTGACGTCCCAGGGCCTTTCTGAGAACTTCTCTCTGAGTCCCGGCATTCGATCGGGTGCTGGTTACCTGAGGGGAGGCATATACAGGTGCAGCACTATGGGGCTCCTGGCATCCTCCTTGCCTGACACGAGTTGTAAAGGTCACCTTGGCCTATTTCTGCCTTCCTCATTTTCCCTCACAGTGCTGACATCCCCGCTGTCATTTCAGAGGCCTCATGGAGCCAGCAGCCGCTGACCAAGCCATCCCCACAGCGCGTGGACGACGCGAGGCTGAGAACGTCCCTGGGTCAGGGCACGGGCCCCCAGGCGAGCCCCACGGGGGAAAAAAGGAGGTGAGACTACAAAGTGAAGGCTACTGCAAAGCTGGAGATGTCCTGCTAGCACTGCCCTCCCTCTCTCTTCTCCTTTGCCTTATGTTTTTGGCAATCATTGCTAAAGGGTGATACCAATTCTTCCAGTAAACGAGAGGGGATTTACCTGATATTTACATAGCGTATATCTATGCGATGAGAAAGGAACATCTATTTTCATTAACATATATATGAACAGTCTTCTGCAAAATATGTGCCACTCTGTGAGGCTTGTATCTAGTCAAAACTAATGTAGATTGAATTCTGGTTACCTACTGTTAACTACTTAGGTGTGTTTGAGAAAATTGCTATGTGATCTGTAAACAGCTGTAAGCAGTGAGAGGTTGAATCAATCCTGTCATTTGTGATGAGAAAAAAGCATACCTGTTTTTCCAGTGCATAATGTTGCAACTGGGAATAAGGCACTCTTCTGTGTTGATATTTTGTTTTTACTCAGTTAAGGGTACACGCTGCCAGTCAACTACCCCAGCTCTGCTCTATCTGTATGTTTCTGTGCACGTTCCCTTGGCAGAGTAGAGGTCTTGTGCCTTGGCTTAACTCTCCTTCATTACAATATGAGACCAGCTGTACCCACAGGTGGGCAGGAGCTGTCTCTGGGATAAACTCCATGTGGGTTATCTTTATTAAGCAGTACTAAGCAATCACGACTCTGGACCAAAAAAAAAATGTGTGTCCGTTTTTCGTTCTATCAAAATAACAGTGAGCAGCTAATCAATACTTTGTTTTGATGTTGACATGTTTAGAGCTGGAAATCCTGAGACCCATCAGCCAAAATTTCTCAGTACAAGACCACTGGTTTTATTTTAGCTATTGAAAGTTATTTTTCTCTCCTGCGTTTTAGGGCAGGCTGTCATGAGAATTTCCGACCAGGGCCATCATCTCCCTGCTCTCCTGCTGCTCCAAGTTACTCACCCAACAGGTATAAAAGGCCAATGAGGAATTTTGCAAACTAAATACATCTCAGAGTCACTGGTGAAGTGCTGCAGTGTAAATCACATTAGTATTATGTGGACGCACTATTAATACCTGTTAATGTTGCAGTTTATAGCCATCTGCACATAAAACGCAGTGCTCCCTCTCCCATTCTTCCTGCCTACTTCAGCAGTGAGCACTATTGTGCTATAAAATAACACAGTTCAGAGAGCAGCTGCAGAACTCTGCTTGGTCATTGAAATCTCACAGGGGTAGCACAAGCCCCGGTTAAAATTAAACAGCTTAGAGAACTTAAGCTAAAGGATGATGTCTTTGTAGTTCAGTGTGAGTAGTCACATGCTCACGAGTAAGATATGTAGTAAGAAATGTTCTGTTGGCTTTGACACTGCCACCCTGGCAGAGACTCTAGAAAACTATTTGAAATGCATATGCACCATAGGACTTGCCTACTGGAAAGTTTAATTGCATATAGCAATTACATCTGTGTGAGTGCTAGACATACAATATATCCTGCGTAGAATCAGAAAAGATGGCAAGTGTGTTCTTGACTGCAAATTCCTCTAACCTTCCCCCTCCCCATACGAAGTCAATTATGATTCATTGGGATAAAATGGATAAAACTTAGGACGTTAAACATTCTCAGGTGAGAGCCGCGTTCTCACCTTCTGCCTTACAGCATGCAAATATATTTGCAAACAAATCGAAATAAAAAATCTAGCACAGGACTCTGATCTTTCTATGCTTCAGTGGTCCAGTTTGGAAAAAGGTATTGTAAAATTCTTCATTTAAAGCCCTGTGTTTCAAACAGTCCAGCAAGAAGAGTTCTGTGCTGGTCACCTGGTTCATGTGGATGTCTGCACTGACTGATGCGTCATTCATGGATTCTGAGTTATCCCTCCAGTGCTCCTTCCTCCCAGCATATTCCTCTCCATGATCCCATGTAAACATTTGGTTGTACTTTAGCGTAAGTTGCCATTCTATTTTCTTAATGTTTTGACTCCTAGGTCTGTCAGTGGGAAGAAGCTTTGTTCAACCTGTGGTCTTCCTCTTGGAAAAGGAGCTGCCATGATTATTGAAACGCTCGGTCTGTACTTCCATATTCAGTGCTTCAGGGTAAGTCTCTTTCTGTGGTCATTTAGGAAAAATCTCAAGCCAGAGCACAGCATGAGCAGCGAGTACATGGTTTCTTGCTATGAAATGGATAAGGAGAGAAGCAAGTGTTTGGCATGTTTGCTATGCAAGTTTGTTTGCACAGAAGTGAAAATAATACAGCTATTAAAAAAAAATCAGAGGTATTAGCTGAACTAAAATCTGTGACTTTAATAAGGAAGGTTGTCTTCGTAACCTACAGGGATGTGAGGCATAGTGTAATTTCCCAGTTGTACTTACAGTTCTTCAAATATAGAATTAGTTATCTCACGATTTTCTCAAAAATCCTGATTAATCCCAAAAGCTCCTCCTCCGTTTTTGATCTGACCCATGGTCCAACTCAGAAAGCTTTAGCTAAGTGATATTTTCCATTTTTTTCTATTTATTCATGCATACCAAAAATATTCTCAGCATTTTTGATATCTTCAACGATGTACCTTTTTGCTTGCACTAGAGCTACAAACAGTATTTCATGATTGTTCTTGGGCGTGTCCATCAGGAAACAACAAAATATGGTGTTTGCTAGAGAATTCAAAAAGTGCTCCTTTCCATTAACTCTGGACCCATCGGTAACTAGACATTCTTGTAGCCATTCTCAATTTTGGACATTTGCCCAAACACAACCTCTGGCCTTTTTAAGATTTCTTTAGCACAGATGTGCTGACTGCAGAATGAAAATCAGTAGACTTCACTAATGTGTGACTGGAAACCACTGAAATCCAGCACTAAATACTATTCGTTCTTAAAAGCTTTTCATTGCCTTGCAGCATTCCAGATTTTACTTGTTTGGTTGGTTTTCTCACTATTTCTAATACTACTGAACCAAGAGTCAAAATTTTGCGGGTGGGGTGGCACAGGGCCTGCTCCCTCTTACTTTCGTTGTTCTTCAACTGGCAGTGTGGCATTTGCAAGGGACAGCTGGGAGATGCAGCAAGTGGGACAGACGTCAGGATTAGGAACGGTCTTTTGAACTGTAATGATTGCTACATCCGATCCAGAAGTAAGTACCAAATCCTGTCCTAAAAAGCTGCGTATTTTGTTCTGGTTTCACAGTGAACTCAAACAATGTTGTCGTCGTGATTTTAACAGCAGGGGATTTTTTCCTCCTGGAAGAAGTATATTCTCCAAAGTATGTTCTCCTTTATACCCAAAAGGCTTTGCCACTGCTCCCCTTCCCGTCCCCTTTCAGCTGGACTCTGACATCTCCAGTGTGGTAAGATGGGCAGTACAAACATTGTCTTTCTTCTCAGTGAAAAGGAAGAAGGCACAGAATAAATAAATAAATAAATAAAAAGCATTGAAGTCTTTCTGTAACACGTTCCTGTTCAGCATATTTGCTGCCCACAGGGAGAGTGGCACCTGGGATATAGAGCTCTTTTCACTTACTATTTTCTTTTCTCTCCTGCAAAATAAATGACTATAGAAATCCAATAGCTTGAAATCTGATTCACATTTGCCAGTAGAAAAATTAGTTGATTTTTCTCAGAGGTTTCATGACAGAGATATTTCCCCATCATCAGAGCTAGAGGGTGCTGTTGTATAATCATTTGCTTATCTGGTGAATTGTTTTATTTCTGCTTAGAAATGTTAGCAAATTTATATTTTATTTATTTAACTTCAACACATTTAGAAATAGCTCTTTTTCTCAGCAGGCTCAGAATTACAGACCTTTCTCTTGTGGCTGAAGGAACTCTTAAAATGTACATTTGCACCTCTATCATTACACAAAAGGAGAGAAGATGATAAAAGTCCTATTTTTCCTTTCTTCTTAATCCTCTTTGCTGAAATGACTCTTTTCATCAGATGAAGGCTCCATTAAATGGGATATTTTTTCAGCCTATATTTTGATAAATCATCCCCTCCATCATCATTTCTACAGCAGTGGTGCTGGAAAACGCGGTATGGAGCTCCATCAAGCAACATCTTGTGCTGCAAGGGTTTGCTTTTGTGGATAGATAGCACAGCCCCATGGCTAGCAGTCACAGGTGATTTGGAAACATGCAATTCCTGATTAACAGTAATGTAGAAGGGTTCATCTTTTGCCACTTCTCAAGAAAAGTCTCAAAACATGGATCAGCTGAGTTTAAGTTGCAGCAGCTCTTGTTGATAGTTTCCAAAAGATTGATTTTGATGTTATGAAGCTGAATATAGTTCACTGCATGCAAGGGGATTGCTTGCTTTTAACAAAGCTTTGATGGACTCTACAAGCTGGTGCAATGTTAGTGTTACCCCCTTCAGTTCTGGAAGGGCTGATGGTAAATATAAAAGCAGTTGTTTGATTCCACAGCTCTGTCCTGCCTGCTCACTCCTCTGCCTGTGTCTTGAAACCTTTGCAGCACTGCAGTAGACATTGTTCACTGAAGCCAGAAGTAGTCAGTACTTTTTTGAGGGGCTTATAGACACCTTGTAAAAATATTTGGCTGCTAAAATTTTGTTTGAAGCTGTGGATGTATCTTTTTCATAAAAAAAAAATCAGAATTTGAAAGAGAAAACTTGTAAAAGCTTATCTGGTGGTCCAGGGCATATTTGTGTTATTTAAATAAAAGTGCACAGGAGTTTATTGGTAGGTTATCTCCCTACATGAAGATCTCATACCAATGATAATTAATGAAATTAACTCAATATTCAATGTCAAACACAGAAATAGTTACAGATTTCCTAGGGTTGAAGTCAAAGGCAAGCAGTAAATTCATGAAATACTCTGTGTGGCCGAATAACATCAGGGTTCTGTATTATCACAGCACAAAATACAGGCGCTGCTAAGGATGACTCATCGGTTGTTTGCTTTACTGTTTTCCACTGCAGAGTTTTTCCACTGCAAAGTAAATATCCCCACAGTACTTTGTGAGGAAATGAAATAAAGGTGAATGTGCTGACTGCAGTCAGCTGTGCAAGGGAAATCCATATGGCATGAAAGTCCATAGGGCATGAAAAATATTTTTACTAGCAATATGCTGAATTCTTGTTGCAGTCAGTGCCCCAACTTTGGAGGACGAGGACAGAAGGAGGAGAGCACAAATGATACATAGTTCCAGCTGTGGTTTCTTGAGTTATAGAGATTGTATGAGGGAAATCTTATTTATTCCGTCATTTCAGGAGAAATGTTTGTTAAAATCTGCCATCTAATGGCTTGTTTTTTGCCTTGTTTTATCCAGCTGCTGGGCAGCCGACTACTTTGTGACATGACTTTCAGTCTAATGACTTGCAAGAAGGAACTCTCTCCTCGTGTGTCTCGGCTGCCTCCAGACAATCACTTGTTAGAGCTTGGAACCACGGACGTCGTAGCTCTCATCTCATTTTGAAAAGCTCATGCAAAAAGGCTACATCTGCTCCTTTAAAACACAGTATGTTTTTTCCCGCCTTTCTTAAGAAATTTGCAAAATATGTATGATGGTATCTGGTAAGGTATAGCCTAAGTACTATAAAAAAAATCCCACCTTTTCAGGTATGTTTATGATATCCAGTCTGTTACTTGGTTCTTTTAAAGGTAATAAGAAAATTAAAATGCAATAAACTTGTTTTAATATTTCTAGGAATTAAAGTTTTAAGTTTACAGAGCCTTTATAGAATATGCCAACTGGAGATGAGAAGTGATTTTAAGATAGTATCTAATCAGTGCATTTGAGAAAACTAAACACCACAGCACATGACTTCTCTGTTATAACTGAAGCTATAACTTTTTTTTTATACAGAGACTAGTTTGATAATACATCCTGTAATTCTGAAACATTTTATGTTTATATTACCTTCAGTGGAGGGTAGGAGTTATACAAATAAATTATTGCACCTTTAGTGATAGGAATTTTTGTTTGTGTACCTCATGTAATGTTCATGACTATAGCTTAATATTCTGTCAAATAAAGATTTCTTCATTAAATCTAAAGACTCTATACCATTAACGACTGCGGGATTCCCGTTAGGAGCACTCCTTCACCATAAAATCCATATCCTGCGTTGCTGTTACATTTGGTGAAAGGGGGATGTGGGGGAGAGGAGCTGGAACTGAGCAGATACAACGGAAATGGGAATGTACAAGCTGCAGGTCAAGGTGTGCCGGGGTTTTTCTGTTGTACCTTGCCCGTAGATGGCCCGAGTTACTCTGCGACCTGCTCGTTTGCTTGCGAGTGTTACGTTTGGTTGAAACCACGGGAGAAGAAACGTGTGCGGTGGCGTCCCCTCCATCCCGAGCCCTCACTAGGGCCTGTGGTGAACAAGGACAGCCAAGGGATGGCCGTGAACCTGCATCCCTGCATCCACCCCAAATGTCAGCAAAACTCGGGAGCATGGGAAGCAGGCAGGGAGGAGGCCAATAGTGACAGGCAAGAAGGCTTGACCCACCTGTGTTTGGGGCAGTTTTCCTCTGTGCTTTTTGCTTAGGAATGAGCTCCTTGCTGAGCTGCTGCAGCAGCTTGCTGGAAGAGTTGTCTCAGCTAAGACCTTGCTGCAATCCAGAATATGTGGACAAGCTGGAGTGATAGGTTACAATTGTAAAATATCTCGTTTTAGCCATTCAAAATGTAACTTAAAACAGAGAAAACAACTTACTCTGCCTTAAAATAATAATAATAAAAAGATAAAACTAACAGATTTCTTGTTTAATGTATGTGCACATCCATTGTCTGTTGATGTGTCAGTAAAATGGAAATGACCCAGTTACTGGGGAAGCAATAATTTTGAGTTGTTACATAGCAGCTATCCATTTAAACACTACACAGTTGCTTGCATCTGAGTTGCATACCCATGCAAAACTGCGTATCATTGAAAACATCTGCACAATGTTATCACTTGAGGACATTGGGATTGTCTGCTGGAAGTCACATGTTACTTCCTTAAAATTGTGCCTTAGAAAAATGCAAAGCTGTTGCACACAGTCAGTGATGACTCATGGATGCAATAAATCCAAAAAGTTGAAGTCCTTCATGGGTCCTCAATGAGAAGTATTTTTAAAAAAATCAAAAGAAAAAAATCAGAAAAATGTTTTAAAAATAAGACAACAAAATCCAATATTTTGATTAACCATTTGCATGATTAAAGAGGTTAAACCTGTTAAAGGTTTTTGATAACAAAGATGTTTACAGTTTGCATGTGGTCCTCATAACATTTTCCTGCAAATAATGTATAACATGGAAATTCAAAAGGATTTTATAAACTACTTTGTACATCCGTATAATTCCATGTGCTGCATTGAGGATATGTGAATATATTATGTCTGGGCCTAATTTTCAAGCAAGACCTCCTTTAATGCATGCGTGTGTGTCTATTTGGTATGAGTCACTAACACTGATCCCCACACGTGATGTAGCTTAGATGTGCGAATCAGTCACAAGTGTAGAAGAAGGTGGGTGGTCACGGACAGAGGTTAGATGTGCTTCTCTTAGCTTAGTGGTAGATGCCCAAAGATGCCAGAGGAAGCATGACTGGAGCCAAAATGCATGAGCAAGGGGAGGTGGGGGGCGCACAGCCTTGCAGACACTGCTGGGGCTCTCAAGCTGCTTGGAAATTTATCCCAGGGTCTAGCAATTAGATTTGTATATGCATGTTGCAGTGAAGTTAATTGTACGTAAAGCAAAACGAAGCAGCAGTCTCAGACCGTGATTCACCCCTCCGAAACCCCAGCATTTTCAAGTTTTCAAAATTGTACTTGCCAACTGCTTTCTTGATGTTTGATTTATTTTTTCATCTGGGGTCTTATATGGCAAATTCATTTGGACTAAGACCTTTTTTTTTCTCCTTTGTTTTCAGTATAAACACATAAACATGATACATTTCTTATCAGGAACTTTGCAGCACAGAAAAAAAAAAGCTCTATTACATCTGAACTATAATGTAAATGTATTTGTTGCTAAAGTGATTTATTGTTGCTAAGCGAGTACAATGTATGTAATGGTTTTTAGATGTTTGAAAATTTACTTAGCCTCTTAATACTTCAGAGAACCTCAATAAGCATCATAACCCTTCTGTATTTCACTGTCCCGCTTCCATGGTGCATTTTTCCTGCCTCTTGCTGTGTAGTGATGATGCAGTTCTCCTGTAGTTTTCAGTGAATGTCCTAGAGGTTGGTGAACTGCCTGGGGACCATCCTTGTATGCATGTCCATTGAAGGACAAGGATTGCTGTCCTACCCGGAGCTAATGTTGAATACCAATTGTGCTAATCTTTATTTATTCTAAAATGCCTCTGGAAATTAGGAAGACCTGTCTAAAATGCAACAGCTTTTATAGTAAATGTACGTTTATAAATAAAAACGTTGATTACATTTGGTGAAGGATCGAGTTTGCTTCTTGTAACTAACTAACTTCTCCTTTTACATGTGATATGCTGGCAAAATCAGGTGGCAGGCAGGGTTCATCCCAACGGGAAAAGCTTCTGTGTGGGGAAGGTTGGGCTGAAGGGTAGTCTGGAAAGTTTAGCCTGTGAAAAGAGGCAGCATGAGAGCCGTACGTGAGGTGGACAATACCTTGTGGGTCACTACAGCAAGCAGAGATGAGCAGTGACCCAAGTGCGTGTGCCTGCCTGTTGCGGTAAGGGATGAGCAGCACCAGCCGAACAGCATCTTGGCACCTCTGGGTCAAATCCAAAGTCCTCAAGAAGATTTTCCACTGGCATCAGTAGACTGTGGTTCAGCCTTCAATTCAACAAAGTGCTTTGTGTGGGAAGGAAAGCCTTGTGCTTGGTTAATCCCATTCCTATGTGGCCAAGATCTTCGAGTTGCTGATGTTTGGGAGCCTGATTATGCAGGTGCTGAAGTGCCTTCCTAAATCGCAGATCCGCAAGAGCGTACAGCTTTATCCCCAACCAGCAAAATGGTCACACAACATTTTAAACTAAGAGCTGGCCCTTCCTTTTGATCAGGAGCTCAATGGATGGCTGCTTTGGTTTTGAGCCAGATATGCATCTTGGCTGGTGGATGAGTCATGGGGAAGTATTGACGATTTAATCTTTTAAAAGTCTATCTCTCAGCCTGGTGCCTGGATCACAGCTGCCTTAATGGAAATGGTAGTGGCATTACATTATTTTTCCATGTATGTGTTTGGGTAGAGGGCCAGCGCTGCTTTGGGGTAAGAGGTGAGCGAGGGTCTCCAGCGAGTGGGGGCCCTACAGCAAGGTTGCTGGGTGTCCAGATGGGCATGTGGCCCTTACAAGCCTGGAAAATCGTGGAAATCTCAATTTCTGCAACCCTTCTGGGCCGATCTCATGACAAAATCATCCAGCAGGCCTCTTGAATGGGTCATTTGGGGCATCCCAGGGCATTCGGTAGCACTCTGTCCTTCCTATCCCTTCTCTGGATGCGATGCAAAGGGATAATGGGTAACACGGAGTTCCCAGGTAGGCAAGTCCGTGGGAGACCAGCTAACTCAGCAGCTCATAATCCTCCTCCAGAGCTTCAGTGCCAAGACTGCCTGTGAACACAGGCAGGTTCTAGTAACTGCTAGCAATAAATAGTGGTAGCAGTAAATACGAGTACATTGCTCATCTCATGAGCATCAACCCTCATCCAGACAACTGTCCATGGCAACTGTTAGAAGCAAAGTGCTAAGTGAATTAGCCTTGGGGCGCAGCTCTTACTGTCCAGCTGAGCAAGGAGAGGTTTGCTCTCGTATGGCCACCAGAAGCCCTTCCTGTCAGCAGGATGCTTCCTAAGCAATCTTAAAATTAGAGGAGCTGGGACTCAACTCGCTCCTCTTGGAGGCAGCCTTGTGCCCGCTCTCCTGGACAAGGTGAGGCAGGTGGAGAAGAGGATAAGATGCTCCATTTCTGCACCACGTCTACAGGGATGCGCAGGAGAGCCTCGTCACTGGACCTCATCAGGTGACCACTGCTTGACTGGGAAAAAAAAACAAAAGATACCAGAAAAAACACACGTCTCTTGTACAGCCAAGTAGGACTCCTATATATCTCTAAAAGCCTCCGGTAGGGATGTAATTTCATCTGAATTTCCCGATAAGAGGAAATGACTAAACTGGAAGCCACTCAAGTTTTACAGGTAATAAGGGTCCAAAACAAAGATATAAGTAGAGTGTTTTCCTTTTCTGGGTTGTGGCTCTCCTCAGTGTGGGGTTCATATTTTGTGGGTTTTGTTATTGTTGCTTTCCATTCTTTTGGTTAGTTTTCTAAAATCCAGTGCTAAGAGGAATGCTCACCCCCGCTCAAGGCCCCAGCTGCTGCTCTGCAGACTGACAGCTCTGCACCCCCATGCTCCGCAAGATCCCCTTCCCAAAGCAGATGGGATTTTAAGCCATTTAGGAGAGAAAAAAAATCCATTATTGAAGACAATCTCATGAGTCACTGCTAACTCATCCACAGGCTGCCCCCGCCTCACTGCACAGGACATGCTGCTAATTCTCTTAGCTAATGCCACATCCATGGTTCACAGACACGTTTTTCTAAGTGGGTAACCTGTTTCTTAGAGCATACTGAAGCCATAGTGTATGGCTGTAGAAATAGGAGTAAGAAGTGACAGAAAACCGAATCTTCCCTTGAAATAACAGAATAATCACATCAAGAAGAAAACAATTTTTTTTAAAAAAAATGTATCCTTTTCTCCTTATTTTTTATTACAGACAACGAATTGCTCCAACAACAAGTATGGGAACAGGGACGTGATGCCCACATCTATCTATGGAAAATGTGTGGTAACTTCTCATGCTAATCATTAGGTCAGAGCATTAGAGCTTGTAGGGCAGGTAATGTCTCAAAATCCTGCCTGGCTGGATCAAACCTTTCCTTCTAAAAGAGTCAAAATCAACACTTGTAACAGTAAATGATGCTTATTCTGTAAAAGATGATGTAGCTCTTCAAAGTATTCTTTTTTGCTTCTGGTCTCTGTTTTTCAGAAGCTTTCTAAAACGTTTTTTCAGGTAATAGCTCTGGCATCAGACACATGTTCCTCATGTAAAGGCAAAGAGGATCTCTGGTGATAGCGGCCTGCAGCATGAAACAGACTGTGGGAAACACTAGATGCTGGTCATAACATGCCCAGACTGTGAGACTCTTCTAAACATTTGTAGATCTCCTACAAAGAATGGTTTCATGAGTATTTCAGCTCTTTGAAGTGTGCTTGCAAAAGACTTCATAAAAATAGCAGAACTTTATTATTATTATTATTTATTCAATACATTCCACAAATTTTTTCACAAGTGTCCATTACCAGATAATAGGCTGATCGTTTGTTTTGTATTCCATTTCAACTGCACATATGAACAGAAATTCATATGAAAAGAAATTCTGTATTTTAAGGGTAGTGACTGATGTACTTTTGCCACAGCAATGTGTGAAGGTTTTGCTGTAGAAGCTGCCCTACTATCATTGAAGAAAAGCAGCTGCATTTTCCAGATCTTTTTATAGAAATTCAGTCTGATTTCTGGTGATTTGCTGATTTCCTTATTGTATTTCTCCTGTAAGTGTTAATTAATATTTTTATTTACTTACTTCAGTGTCTATAAAATAGTTGATCTTAAATTTATTTGCTGGATAAAAAAAAAAGATGCTGTGACGGCTGACTTTCATTTTGCCTGTAGTAACCAAGCTGATATGTGACAACGCTGTGCAGTACCGGGAACCGGTGACAACATGCACAGGTCTTCCCCCAGCACTGCTACAGCTCTCTCCTGGCTGCTCAGTGGTTTATGCAGGAAAAAAGTGCCGTTTGCAACTGCATTTGCAAGCCTTGCATCAGCAAATGGCCTTTGCAAGCCATTTTTGAGAAATCTTTGACCACAGCTATCTCCTGTATCAGCAAATGGCTTTTGCAAGCCATTTTTGAGAAATCTTTGAATGAACAGGAGTTTGAGGAGCTCAGAGGCCTGTACCACCCTTGTGGTCATTCAGTTCAGCGCCTGGAGTCATCTGCTGTCATCATTCACTGAAAAAATGTCTTTTTTCTTCCTCTAATGAACAGGAGTTTGAGGAGCTCAGAGGGCTGGACCACCCTTGTGGTCATTCAGTTCAGCACCTGAAGTGGAGTCATCTGGTGTCACCATTCACTGAAAAAATGCCTTTTTTTTCTTCCTCTGGATGCCAGGGTTCTGCTTTTTAGACAGAAATTATTCCAATTTGATCGATACAGATTTTTTAATGGCTTGTTGTGAGTTTTCACTTAGAAAAAAAAAAAAAAAGGCTGTAAATAACCCTTGCCGATAAACTTGGAAAGCTGCATACAGAGATAGAAGATGCACAGAATGCAATGAGGATTCCTGGTACTCCTGCAGAAACTTATAGGATGACAAGATGACTGAAGCAAGCCAAGTGTGGAAAGGCATGCTGCTCTGATGGTCTTTATTAAAAACTTTTGATTCACAGAACAAATAGAGTAAGATATATTTCTAATCTGCCATAGTATTTTTCCTCGTGGAACAAAAACATCTTCAACACCATTTTATTTATTTACTTTTTTAAAGAAAGGTCCCTGTGTTTTGAAGAGATTTCAACCTATGTACCAATTACTTCGTTCCTATAGCAGTAACAAAAAAGAATACGGTCAAGGTTTCGAACCATTTTGAATACTAATACAGCCAGGTGCCCAATCTCAGGAGCCTGTGAACAGCCTGACTTTGGAGAGTGGCTGGTTGCAGATCCCCAGATAACTGAGCATCTTGGACAGGTGTCAGGTTAGGTGCCCAGAGCCCCTGGTCATGCTTAAAACCACCAGCATCTAGACTTGGATCTTCCAGTGTCTCAAGTGTATTTCAAGCAGCACTATGAGAAAAGGCAGGCTGAAATCCTTCGGGTATTTCCTGGCCAACATATTTAATAATGACTTCTGTCTACAAAGCCTATCATTACCAGAAAATTGTAAAGCTCTTTGCAACTATTAGTTGAACAGTATTTAAAAACAACCCCATGAGGCAGAAAAATATCATTATATACCTATTTCCAAGTGAAAAAAGATAGGGTGCACAGGCTCATTTGCCCAGAGAGAGAACATTTAGGTAGCAAATTTAATTCAGACTATAACTTGCATGAACTGTGCCAATAAAAATGTTAGAAACTCAGTGCAGACACTAAAAAATAAAAAGCAGCAAAGTTTGTATTTAGAGTTATTGAGACTGGAACGAAGCGATCACAGAGTTCAGAAGGACCCAGCTAGTTCGAGCATCACAGCAAAAGCCACCGCATCAAGAAGCCTCCAGGACTGGAGGCAGCTTGTCTGCAAACCAAGTGCATCAGCTGCGCTCAGCCCAGCTGCAGGGACCGCGGGGGTGTGGGACACAGACCTGCTCTCCTGACTGCTCTCTTCCTGTGCTTGGAGGCCAAGCTGAAGTTGAATCCTTTTGTTTAAATTTTTTTTTTTTTTTTTTTTTTGGTGGGAATAAAAAGCTGTGAAATTGTTCAACCTACTTTGTAACCAAAGAAGCAAAGCTGTGTAATTGAGTTGTTTTTTTTTTATTTTATAATGCACATTCTTTATGTATTTTTATTTAGTGTTTTCTCATTCACAACTTTCTTTGCTGTCTAGCATGATCTGCATGACCTATAATCTTTGAACCACTTTCGTACCTCATGTTTTTATCCAGCACTCTTATTGTAATATGTAATAGTCTGTGAACAATGTCAAATAAAAAAGAAAGAACAGCTGGTGTTGGTGGAGTTGAGCTAGTGTGCTATGCACTAGTTGTTTAAAAAAATGAAGTGAGCCATCTTTTGTTCATTTAAAATGGTGTTTTGAATTTCGTATGCAGAAAACGTTTTGTTACATTGCAGATTTTAATGTATTTAATAAATGCAACATGCAGATTAAGTGCAGTGTATACTGAGTATTTAAATTAAAATGTACATTTCATAGTCGTGACAGGGGCTGCTGCTATCCAGCTCAAGGATTTATGTACTTGGTAAATCAAATTTCAAGGAAAGAGATTGCTTAGAGGAACCTCCTCGTTGTGGAGTCACAAGCTGTCAGGGTTTATTAGCATTATGCTACCGGAGTAAAAAGCAAAACAAATTAAGATGTTTAACAGCCGAAATCTGAAACAAAATTGTGTTTAATGTTGGAAATCTAGTTAACATATTTTCAGGCTTCCCTCTTCCCAGATATTAAATCTCAGTGCGTGTTTGCTAGTGCCTGTGTATCGCGCACGGAGCAGGATGATGGCAGGAGGCTGAGGAGCCTCACGCAGCCCACAGCAAGCCCGGGTTTTCCAGCCTTGCTGCTGCATCCGCTTCGGATTCCGGAGACTGCTCCGGGCTGCCGGCAGTGCGTGCGACACACAGGAGAGTCTTATGGGAAACCAAAGAACCTGGAGCTCTCCTTATGCCCAGGATGGGGGAGAACATTACGGTAGTGACAACAGCCCCAAATTCAGGATTACACACGTTCTAGCTTTTAATGTAAGGGTAATTTGAACTCCCAAGCTGGTTTTTCTCCTGTGTTGGCTCCCACAATGAAAGAACCATTAAGGTTTTAGTGATCTTCTAAGACTCTGCTTCTAGCAGAAAATTGGCTCCTTTTCCTTGGACACAAGACCAGCTTTTAATTGAATTTCAAGAGATGATGGATGTTGTACTTTATTCCAGGTCTATATGCTAAATTAACAAGGCTGTCTGCTTAGTTTCCTCTTTTGAAACCACACAGAGATGAGTTTCTGCTAATTCTCTTACACAGAGCATTAGACACATGAACCAACTTCTTATTCAAGTTCTGAAATAGATGTTTCTGCCAAGGTTATTACTTTGGATAATAGATCGGTACAGTGAGGCAAGGACAATAATTTGCTTTCTGAAAAAGATTTACCAGCTGAACTATTTCAGACTGATCAGTAAAAATAAAACTAACTGTATCATGTATTTTCCCCAAAGTATTATTAATTAACTCTTAAAATGTCTGTCTT